GTTGTCTCAGCTTTAGAACCCAAATGGCATAAATCCCTTAACATCCAGTACACTTTTCCTTTCGAATTCAAAAATCTGTAGCCGTGCTGTAGCCCTGACTATATGTAATAAGTTGCTTTCTTCACCAGTAAGCTGCATTATATGCAAGGCCAACAATGGGTTCCCTGGACCTCTAAGTATTGTATTGCCTCAGTTTTCGCTAGACTTGAGTAGCCTATCTTTTCTTGTTCCCAGTGAGCAGTCGCATTAATAAATTGTATTCCTCTTTTGCTTGGCGCTAAACAGAAACAGTCATGGCAGACAAAAAATTACCGGACCTCAAAGGATACGTATGTCTTGTGACGGGTGCCAGTCGTGGCATCGGCCGGGGAATCGCACTTGCTTTAGGTGGATGCGGTGCCACTGTGTATATCACTGGCCGAACTCTCAAGCCCAAGGAAGATACCAAGGAGGGCGATGTGGGAGGAAGTTTGGAGGAGACAGCTGCAGATATTAAATCGCGTGGTGGGGTATGGTTTTTCCCCAAATTCTCTAACCTTGTGTTTTTATTTTATTTTCACTGTTTGTTTGTTTCCTCTTCATCGTCTTTGTCACCTTTGTTTTCTATGATGCTAAAAAATAATAATGCGTGTGGTTTTGGCTCAGTAGAATGTGCGATATTACGGGGTGCCATTACGTTTGCTGCTGCTACGCCAAGGACCTCAGCACGACTTATATTTTACCCTGAAAGCGTGTGAACGTAGCTTTGTTTGTGTTTCGGTGATCGACTTACAATGTGTTCTGTAGAATGACACCGCCAATTTTCCGCCCAGTGATGTAAGGTGCCTTATGTGCTACAATTTTAGTTCTGTTTTCTAATTCCTAAATATACAACGTTTCGCTCTGAGGCTAAAACTGTATCTAAAAAAGGTCAAACTCTTCTAATCTCTTTGAAACCAGATTCATCATGCTACTTCCTCAAGCTTATGGAACCTACGCTCGGCATGTTGACATGTGTGACTTTAAAGAATATGAAACCTGTGCTATTAAAAGGACGAAAACGTTTCGGCCAAATTGAGCTTCGGCATCAAATGTGGACTTGGCAGGTAATTGCTCCTGTTCATAGACTGTGAGTTCACGAACCACCACTCAAGTAACTGGCGATTCACACGAATATCCCATCTCATGCGAGTTTTGGCCTGGCCAAATTTAAATGTGTGGCTGGGTATCGTCGGATGAGTCAGAAGTTGAGAATTGACATCCTGTCTCCGTACTACTGCTACGCGTTCCGCAATGCGTGTCTTGGGAAGTTTTTTAGTTTCTCTCCGACGTAATTGTTTTCTCAGAAACTACACCAATTACTGTAGATGCCTCTAGATGTTTTGGGGGTCTTTATATTTATTATGTGACACCTTTTTACATTATTTGGCCCTCGCCTCCTCCTCCTCCCCCCGTAGGTGGCTATTCCAGTGGTTGTTGACCACTCAGATGACAGCCAGGTGTAC